ATTGTGTGTTACCTTTCTTCCCTGTAATACCTCCCCCTTCACTACTGGTGTTCCCTTTGGCTCCCAAAGCAACTACATGAACTCAATCTTTGTCTCAGGGTCTGCTTTTATGGGATCCCAAACTAAGAAAGAAGTCAGTTATTGGATATCTCATAATTCAGGGGTCTATGACTGTCACCTTCTTCCCATATAAAATGTGAGAAATGCTTTTATTGTATGGTCAACATGTAGACTATAAAGAGGAAAAAACAAATAAAGGGAAAAAAGTTTCCCTTCCTTTTCTCTTCTCTGCTCCTTGCTGCCTCCCTTAAGTATTTACTGAACAAATATAGGAAATGCAAACTCAGATCTGTAAGGAGCCAGGTAGGTGATGTTTATGTGCAAAACAGAGGTCATACAATTGGGAGTGGTGGGGTCTGTGGCAAACAGCACGTCCCCAAAAAGGTCCCTCAGCCTCCTTTTCCTCTTCCTCTTCCTTTATCATTGCTATGTCGGTCAAACAAAACCTACCCACAGGATGCTAAAATTCAAAGACAAGTGTAAGACCTACCTTTGTGTACTAGGTAATTATCTGACTCTTTTGTTTAGGTGGAGCTACGCTTCCGAGGTGGACTTCCCTTTAGAGTAGACCAGATAACTGAGAGGAAATCTCTGCTCGTGTATAATACACCATCACGCACGAGATTCTACAATTCTGTCCAAAAAAATGTCACCCTGAAACAAGGAAAGAACCATTCCCACAGCTTGGGGGAAAGTCGAATGAGAAATCATGTATTTTTCATCATACTCACTTCATTTTCTAAAATATTTACATGCTGTCATCTGAAGATAAGTCATAACAATTTTTCTCTTTAAGTTTTGGCACAGTTGGCATGCTTTCCAGAACAATCACACTTGAAAGGGCCTTTCTAGTTGCAGCAGGGGAGGCTACAGATGGAGGAGAGAGAAATACCCAGACTTGAGATGTGGGGAACAGTTCAGAAGTCCGTGGAAAATGACAGGAGCCACTTGGGAATGTGCTGCATTGAATGCCATGTGCGTTGTAAATTCAGACTGAGGGCAGATGTCACCTACATGTCTCTCTTTTGGCCTTGGGTGTCAAAAAAAAAAAAATGCTTCTCAGTGGAAATCCCTGTCTGCTGGGGAAGGAGGACATCTGCCAAGTGTTCCCAGGGTACTGTCACCTGGTCCTGGGTCCTTGGATGTGCAACCATTTCTCTCCAGCTACACAGTGAACAATGCAATAAGCAAACAAGCTGTTTGTGTGTCTAAAGTTTCATCCTAAAAACTCCAAAGTGTTGAGGCACTGAAATGGGGCGGTGGCACCACCTCTTACCCCCACCTGCCGATCCTGTTGGTAAGTCCCTCTGTAAACAGTACTGTGCCTTTCAAATGTCAGGGGCCCCTTGTGGCTGTCTCAGATGGGCTGATGCTGATGGCATCATGGGAATTGTTGCAAGCTTCTCCTTTGAGGAATGATGTTAGAGAGTGAAGGAAGGCTGCCTCTCGAGGTGCCAGATGAGAATAAGTTGTAAGAAGTGGATCAATGCTCAGCTATCTTAGCTATCTGAGAGGGAGCCAGTTGACATCAAGGGTAACTGAAAAAGTGACCATGTTGTTTCTGCACTGCTGGAGTCTGGCCAAATCTCTATTCTAACACTGGAAGGTGCATGGTTTTCTAGGGCTGCTGTAACAAGGTATGGGTGGTGTAGACCACAGAAATATATTGTATATTGTATATATAGCTGTTCTGGAAGGTCGAAGTCAAGGTGTCGGCAGGGTTGGTTCCTTCTGAAGGCTGGGAGGGAGAATCTGTCCCATGCCTCTCCCCTAGCTGCTGGGGGTTTCCTTGGCTTGTAGATGCATCATCCTGATCTCTGCCTTCATGTTCTCTGCGCATTGTTCCTGTGTGTCTGTGTCCAAATTACCTTTTTTAATAGAGACACCAGTCATATCAGATTAGGGGCCCACCCTGCTCCAGAATGACCTCATCTTAATTAATTACACCTGCAATCGCCCTATTTCCAAATAAGGTCACATTCTGAGATGGGGGGAGGGTTAGGATTTCAACATATGAATTTTGGTTGGGGGGGGAGCACAATTCCACCCATAATAGAGGAGAAGCATATGGTGTCATATTTCTATTGAGACTTCTGAAAGAATTCAATAGTTCAGAAGAAACTTCTTCAGAGCTCTACAAAGCTGTGTGAAGGTGCCAACTGCCACTTGATGTTACCAGAATGGAAAAGTAAGGGGCTCTGTTAGCAACCTTCAGACTGACTTCTGACCCTTCAAGTGCTAAACTTGTCCAGTGGAACCACATTTGCTAGTTTTGGAACCTACCAGAGAGAGAAGAGTCTCCCCTAATTTGGGGCCAAGATTCCCCTTAAGCTTGGGGGTGGTGGGGGAAATGGCAGTTGGAGTAGAGCCTGACAGGTTGTGATAAACGAGGCTGCTGATGGGGCCCCGTCCACGCAGAGGTAGCACATGAACATAAGCCCCAAGGAAGAGGAACAATGGATTCAGAGAGGGACACACAAAGCCAGTGAGAGACAGGCACGAGAGAACAGCCAAGCGCTGTGATTGTGGGAGCCCCGTGGGGATCCCCACACACTCTGTGGCCAGAGTCCTGCAGCCATGTTGGATCCAGAATGTTTGTCTGGTCCCAGCTTGTATGAGGTCCTGCTCGAATTCGTCCCATTGCCCTAGTCCTTCCTCGTGCATCCCTACAAGAAATCCTTTAAGTTGAGCCACCCGGGCCTCTGCTCCTGCAGCTCAGAGACAAACCAGAGTGTCCAGCTTGGTCATCAATCCCTTCAGTGTACCACCTGGAAGGGGATGCGCAGTGCCATCCCAGAAAACGGTCACTTCTACTGCTCTTTCCTAGTCACTGGGGGATTTTTAAAACCACATTATCTTGTGGTCTTAGTATCTTAGGCTTACAAGATATGTAGTCTAGAAATCATTTAGAGCAGCACCTCTCAAACTTGAGTGTGACCTTGTTAAAATGCAGACTCTGATACATCAGGTGGGTGGATGGGGCTGAGGCTCTGCATTTCTCACAAAGTTGCGGGTGGGCCAGTGGCCACACTGTGAGAACCACTGATGGGACTATTTTACTGAAGAAGAAAGTGAGGCACGGAGAAACTAAGTGACTAGTCCTAAATTCTGTGGCCAACAAGGGATGGGGATTGAGGTGAGAACTGGGATCTCTCATAGAAATAGTTACCAGGGGCTGGGGGCTAAGGGGTAAAGAGGTTGTGTATGTAGGTTCCAGTTATAAGATGAGTAAGTTGTGGGATTTAACAGTGACAGTAGTTAAAAATAAAACAAAATGCAGTGTTGCCATCTTGTAACACTTTAAAACAACAATGGAAAATAGCCTTCAGTTGTCCACTCTAATTTTCTTTAATATTTTTACCTTTCCAAGCTACTGTTGAGTTTGGGGTGTTTTATACACATACCTATTTTAGTGATATAAATGTATAAGTAATAAGTTCATGTGTATTTCACATAGACTGTAAATAACTTAAACATAAACAGAACAGATGCATTTTGCAGTTCACTTATAACAGTGCTAGTTTATACATCTAAACATGGCTATAACCATTTCATCCATTTGAAATTGGTCAAAACCCAAGAGGCAAACTTTCTAAAAATTCCTAAAATGCACTTCCAAAAGTGCATCTACCATACCTGACATACTTGTCTTTCCCTCACTTAGGACCTGGTGATTTACTCCATGCACCATTGTTGTTATCTTGGGAAATGTGATTCCCATGCCCACGGCTGATTAGAGAAGCAAACTCAAAGCACAGAACGGGCATCACTGTCACCTGATGGCAAGTCTAATCTTGAAGACAAGACTAAATAAGACAAAATGACTAAGTACTCTGAATGGTTGGTGTTGTGGCACCAATGGTGAGTAATTAGGCACATCCTAAGAGCACTGGAAGACACAACAGTCTGGCAATTCAAGTCTGGAGTCTTCCACCTGAGGTCCAGGACTCTTGGAGCTGACACCAGCCATCCCCACTGTGCCCTGTCTGAGTTCTTGACCCACAGAATCCACAAGCCTAGTGAAACACTATGCTTTACACCACAAAGTTTTGGGGAGATTGGTCAAGCGTCCGTAATGACCTGGATGAACACCAACCCTTCTGGGGGCACTTCCCAGTGCCAAACACTGGTGTATTTATCTCATTGATATGTTGCAATGATCCCAGGAGAAATGTATGATTATCACCATTGTACCGGCAAAAAACAGTGGCACAGGGAGGTCAAGTCATTTGTGGATACACCCAGACATTGAGTGCCCTAAATGGGACCTGAACCCAGAAGACTCTGATCCCGGGGCCTGGCTCATGTCTTATGGGAGATGACCCCTGCCCTGAGATGGTAGGGAGGGTACTTCTTTCCTCGTGCATGGGCCGCTCACTGGCTACCTTCCCTTTGGAGGCTCTGCCTTGGTCTCTTTTCCTTGGCTCTCTCCATTCCTGGGCTAATCTCAGGGATGGGCAGCCTCAAAAACCGAGGGCTCATATGTGGCTTGTAGCCCCTTCCGCACCCAGGCCCCACTGCCTGGGGGCTGCTCCCAGCTGATGTGTGGCACAGTGGGGGTGCCAGCAGAGGCCCCCAGGGTGATCCTCCTTCCTCCCCGCTCCTTCACCTGGATTGAGCCAGCATCACTGTCTGAAGGCACCCCTGCCACCTCTTGCCCCCTCCTCTTTGCCCTTTAATGGAGTCCGCTCCAATAAATCGGCCCCAGGACCGATGAAATCTTTCTTGGTAAAAAGATAATTCTTTCAAAACTGTGGCCCCTGTTTGGGGGTCCATTTCTTGGAGGCCCTGAGCAAACGCACAGGGTGACAGCCCCACTTCTGCCTCCTTCCCTGCCCCTTACTTCATTCTCATCACCTCCTCTGGATGCCTCCCACCCCCAGCGCCCCTCCCCTTAACCCCCTAGGTCCAGAGCCTGGTGTCCGCAGCCAAGCCCTTACCTTGTTGACGCCGTCGGCCATGGCCTGAAGCGTGAGCTCGCGGGGCCCGTCCACCGTCTTCCCGTTGTCCGTGGGGCCCCAGCTGGCACTGTAGATGTCGATCAGCTGGGGCATGTGGCTGATTGAAGAAGCTTCGATGATGTCCGTCATGAACGGCTGGTCCAGCATCCGGATACCTGTGGTGTGGGCAGGGAAACACCACGTTTTGGTCGCCCAGTGCCCTGCACACGGTGGCGGGGGTGGGGGGGGGTGTGATGATGAAGGCTCAGATCCTGGGTATGGTTGGAGGGTTGCCCCCGGGTGTCCTGAGGGACGCTGCGCAATCCCGAGTCCAACCTCAGGCTGGGTGGGCTCCACCTTCAGAGGATGAAGAAGGACTCACAGACCGTCCAGCTCGATCCTTTTTGGACTCCGCCCACGCCTTTCGTTATGTAACTATTTGAAGAAATTGTCCCCCCACCCCCACCCCCGCCCCCGCGCGCAAACTCGACTAGAATTTCTAATGGGGAGAGACCACCTTTGTGGTCTGAAGAGATTCCTGGATAAGTCTTTCTAAGTGGAAGCTCAGCCTTCAGCGATTGGGTATTGACAGGTCGGGGGGGGGGCAGTTTCAGAGGAGAAATAAACCCACTGTCAGGACAGTGGGGGGGGGATGAAATTGATATTAAATATTTCAGAGTAAATCCTAGAGATTAGGGGGCAGAGAGAGGGGCAGGAACAGGGCAAAGATCGGGGGAGTCAGGAAGAGAGAACTCCAAGTCGCATGGTAGCTGAGAAGGGGCTTTGGGGAGGACAGAAATGCAGAATGGGCCCTTCTGAAATATATTAGGAATGGGGTGCATGGTACAACCCCCTCCTCTTTCTCCCCTATGTCACCTTTGTAAAGTTTGTGCTCTTCCAACAACTTGTAGGAGTGACTCCTTGCTGGGACATTGATGAGCGGAGTGCTGCAGTCCACGATTGTGTGGCTAAACCAGAGCTGCACACGGGGATGCACAAGGGGGCGCACTTGTGGGCACCCATAGTTCACATCACTGTCTGACTGTCCCTAGCAAGTCTCTCCAGGGTTAGCGCAGTAGCAGCCAATAAGATGGGCACTTGGTCCCTCTATTACTACTCTCCAGAGATTGCTGTTGGGGCCATATTGTTCTCTGCTTGATACACTATTTCTTTTGCGGTAAGGACCCTAGAATGTTAGAGCAGCTGACCAAGTCTTTCTTTCCATAGGAGTTATGAAGTGAAGGGACTGGGCTCCACACAGTCAAAACTTGGATCCTGACACCTCTTAACCATATTTACCATGGCCAAAGGACACTAGAATACAAGCATCACTCTCTAACATGGCATGCAAGTCCATATTTAAATAAGGACAGGCCAGGTTCTTGCAGGGCTTGTGAAATTGACATGAAACTGTCTTCTCTTGAAGGGTCTCTCCTTTCTCCTCAGTGTCCCATAGCCCACTCCTTGTGCCTGCATACACCTTCTCCCAATGCTCATCCTTCTCTGACTAACCTATGTGTTCAGGAGGCATTTCCCCAGCAGTCTTTCTGGATCCAGTTCCCCTGGCATCCCTCCACCCCCACCCCCTCCAGCACCACACTTTTGGCCAATTATAGTGGTATAATTGCTTACTTGTGAGTTTCATTTGTGGAAGGTGATTACAACCTAAAGTAAGCATTGCTAAGACAGGCATCCAAAATAGGGTGGGGAGGACACTGAAGAAGCAAGGTGATGCACATCTCCTGTTTCCATTTTTGGGAGGACTTTTGACTTGTCAATTGTAACTTATTGATTGCACCTTAATCACCTCTTGGAAAACATCCTTTTACTCTGGACTGAAACGGAGATAATGTAGCATATGTTAGCTGAGGAGCCAACCTTAGATATTCCCGCTAATTCTGTCAGTATCAATGATAATTCTTTCAAAACAAGTTATGGGACCTTGTGGTTTTTGCCTATATAAGCCCACATTCCCTCCTTGCATTTTGGAGCACACTTTGCATGTCAGTTGACTCTGTGTCTCCCTGATTGCAATGCCTAAGACCCAAATAAATGCTCTTGGTTGCTTTATAACTCTTCTTGGTCAACACATTCATCACTAGACAGCGAAATCTCTGAGTACAGAGCATGTGTTTATTTTGTTCTTTTCTTGGGTCCTAGGTGATCAGCATTATTTTAAGCTTGGTAAGTATTTGGCGAATAGATGTATGGTATCATTACATTAGCTGATTTTTTTTCCCTAACAGAAATGACAGGTCCAGAAGAACAAATAATAACATCTTGAGATTTTCCATTTATGGGCTTTCTTTATCCATAAATCAGGTCACCATTCTTGCCAACAAATGTCCAATAATCAGTTAGCATCCTTTCCCTTGGGGAGAAGTTCATACAGAATGGGCATAATCTTTGGTTTGAACTTTCTGGAAGCTAAGTTTTGTGTTTTTAAAAAAGATTTCATTTATTTATTTGACACACACAGAGAGAGAGTGAGCAGGGGGAGTGGCAAGCAGAGGGAGAGGGAGAAGCAGGCTCCCCGCAGAGCAGAGAGTCCGATGCAGGACTCCATCCCAGGACCGCAGGATCACGACCTGAGCCAAAGGCAGATGCTTAACCTACTGAGCCACCCAGGTGCCCTTGGAAGCTAAGTTTTATGGTTCATTTTATAAGAGAGAGGAAGTCTAAAACCTCACATTTTGCTTTTGGCTTCCCTGTATTTTATTTATTTTTAAAAATGTGTTCAACAATAGTGCTCAAGAGATCACAGAGTAAACCAAATAGTGCAGCATCTTTTGGCCAGAAGTCGTGCCCACTTTGTAGGTAGGGAAACATTGCAGAGAGGCTGGTTTTCACCTGCCTGCAAGGAGAAAACCCAAATGGTCTTGAACTTGTCTAGATGAGCAGAACTGAACAGCCCACTTCAGCTAGAAGGTGAGAGAAATTCAACCCTGCCGAAGTAGACCTGAACTGTCCTGCGTGCCAACCAATGGCAACACTGAATTTCATCATCCAGCCAGAGTGGTGCATGCGGGCCTACCCTTTACCCCCTCTCTTTGCAGCTTTTGTCTCTCTGTCTCTTTTCCTCTTCCTGCCCTCCCTGGCCCCCTTTGTGCTGCACAGAACATCAGAGGTGGTATGCATTAATCTTCTGTTTCAGCGTCCAGGGAGGCAGGGGCAGTCACAGACTGGGAGCAAGGCTCTCATTCATATTCTGGGGCCAGGCGCCCGACATTCCTTTAATCTTGTTAAGCTCAGGAGGAATGAGGCATGCATTAATTGAATGAGATACAGTATTCATTTTCGCAAGCGACTGCACCATTTGTAGCCAAGACAGAGGCTCAGGGTGACCCAAGGGTTTTCTCTCTCCTCTGTCCCTGGATGCTGTAGGAGCTACAGCAGGGCACGGAGAGAGAGAGAGAGACAAAGACAGAGCCAGATAAGAAAGAGAGAACAAGGGAAGGCAAGAGAGTAAAGGTGAGAGGCAAAGGGAGAGAGGAAAGCCCAGGGGGGGCTAGGACTCTGTGTGTTCACAGTTGTAAAATGCTCTCCTGGCTGGTGTGATTCAATGGCATAGGGAAACACAGTGCGCACATCAAACACTTCTATCCCCCCACCATGAGGGTCTGATCACCGCACTACTGACCGGTGGGGACTCCGAGACTTCCTTCTCTAAGAGCTGCAAGGCCCAGGGATTTGAGTTAAATCCTTTCTACCTCTGCTCTTGTTACAAAAGGGGAACTTGTACTCCACACCAGCAAATGCTGCATCTGCCCATGAACCTCAGTGTTGCTGATCACCACCTTTTTTGCTCATGAATATAAATCGGCAGGCTGAGGCATGAATTCATGCTGACCTAAGGATCTGAGGGATCTGAAAACACGTTCATCATTGTGCTAATATGAGATTTTTATTGGTTTGTTTTAAAGCTCAGATAAAATTATGGGAACTCACTGAAACGTTTGGAGTTCTATTGGCCAAATATGTGGAGGTAATTCATTGCCGGCAGCGAAATTTCAGGGTGTTTTGATAATGGTCAACAGTATGGTTTTCAAACTCTTTTTCGGAACCGTTGAACAAAGGAGGTCCCGTCCCAAAGCTCGATGCATAAATCTAGATGCTCTGACTTAACAAGGCAGGCAGGTGAGGCCAATGCCGCCTGGCCTGGCCCCATCCTGGTGTTGCTCTGAGCAACTCTGCGGAAGCCCAGGTGTGGTGCTCCCACCCTCAAATTGCTACCTGTCCCCTCAGCCTGGTTATTCTCTACCACCTTGCTTTGGTTTGGTCACAGCAGCGATCTGATATTATTGTGCTGATTCACTCATTGTGTCTTCTCTTAGACTCTAAGCTGTGTGAGGACGGGAATCCTGCTGGTTGCCTCACAGCTGTATCCCACCACCCACAGCAGAACCGGGTATGTGGGAGGCACCCAGAAATAACTGTTGAGTGCTGGAAGGGGTTGGCAGTAAGAGATAGCATCTCCCAAGGCTTGGTGCAGTTTTGAGCTTTAATAATCTCAGAAATATAAATCTGACAAACTTTAAGAAACATCATTTGAAAGCTTCATTATTTATATTTGTTGTGCATTTTTTGGGGGGATTGCAAATTTTGGACAGTACATTTTTAATTTTAATTTTTTGTCTTATTCCCTTTGATTGAGGATGTCAAATACTGATTTAAAAATCAAAAGGGACAGGGGCACCTGGGTAGCTCAGTCGGTTAAGCGTTTGCCTTCGGCTCAGGTCATGATCCCAGGGTCCTGGGATCGAGCCCCTTATTGGGCTCCTTGCTCAGCAGGGAGTCTGCTTCTCCCTCTCCTTTTGCCCCTCCCCCCCTTATGTGCTTTCTCTCTCTCTCTCTGTCTCTCAAATAAATAAATAATTTTTAAAAATCAAAAGGAAGAAAAGAATTAGGTTATTTTCCTAAAGAGTTACTGAATAAAGGCATTTTCAAAGTCAAAAACCTGAAATTAATCTTTTTCTTCAAAATTCATGAAGGTAAATAAGTGGATAAGGGAATGTAAATAGTTAAACCTCAAATACATACATATTTTTGAAGTTATTAAAGCTTCAAGATGGCACTAAGATTTTTGGGACATGCCAAATGCATGTGTTTATATGTTATAGAGTATTCACTCTTTAGGAGCCAGAGTAATGGGAGCTTTCCTCTGTCCCTGCCATGT